AACTGACTGCTATCCTAATAAAAAAAAATTTTATTGCTAAAATAAAACCGTGCAATATTTTTGTCCCCCCTCGGTATTTTAACTTTTCTAAAGTTCTTCTGTATCCATATATTGCATTCTAATTTCAAGACAGGCTCGTAATTTGAAAAATGCGCGTGAGATACGGGTACAAAAATTAGAAGCACAAAACACAATTAAAGCAAAGAAAACTGATAAGAAAAGAGAAATGAAATGGACGAATCAGAACTTGAAATTTTCAAGAACCAAAACAGATAAAATTAATCTTCATAATTCAGCAATGGTCCGACAAAAAATTCTTGACGAATTATCTAAAAGGTTTAAATGAAGGCAAACATTTTTTACCATATTTTAAAAAATAAAGTATTATTTTCTTGAGTTAATTTATCCTTGGGAATACATCAGAAGTACTGAGGATTTATGTTTACGTTTTCTGATGGTTAGGAGTTATATAAATTTTTTTTTTTTTTTTTGATATTAAAGGTAGGGGTAAACAATCATTGAAAAGTAATCACATTAGAAGGCGCAGTAATTCCTTGCGCATGATTTCAATTAATTCAATACTTCTTACTCGGCAGTATATAGATAGAATTGATTTAACTTATAATTCGTCACAAAGAAAATTATCAACGTCTCTCGTCCGAACTGATATACAATTTTTTTTATGACGATATTTTCATTATTTTATCCTAATTTTTAATAAAATCATAAAATTGGAAACGGGCTTTTACGAAAATCAGGGGGTGATCTTTTGTCATTTACATAATGGTAATTAAGTGAAGGATTAAGTGTCCCGATGTTCGCCCGCTCAAAAATTGACACGATGCTGATTGGCTTTTGCAATTTTTTTTTTCTTTATTAACGTCAATCATTGTTAATTCCCTCAAGAAAAATTATATAATAAGCTAAACTCAATTTGATTAACCCAATTTCAGAAAGCAGTTAACTCTATTTGGTAAGACAAGAAAGCGGTTAGATCCTTTTTAAGTTGACTAGAATATTTATGGAAAAATTAACAGTTGTAAAAGATTTAACCGAGGGCTAAGTAAAAGAGAATTTTTATTGGTAATTTTTTATGCAAGAATATAAATAAAGTTCATTGAAATAACAATCAGAACAATTAGAAAAAAAAAATGGTTTTAAAGAACAATTTAGAAAAGAGCCTAAAAGATTTGGAAACGAGAATTAAGGAATTAGAGCAAAGTAACGAAGAGTTACGTTCACAATTCAAATATTTAGAAGAAACCAAAGCCAATATCAATAATTTAGAAGAAAGGGTTAGAGAACGAGAAGAAGAAACCAAAGCCATTATCAATAATTTAGAAGAAAAGGTTAGAGAACGAGAAGAAGACACCAAAGCCATTATCAATAATTTAGAAGAAAAGGTTAGAGAACGAGAAGAAGAAACCAAAGCCAATATCAATAATTTAGAAGAAAGGGTTAGAGAACGAGAAGAAGAAACAAAAGCCATTATCAATAATTTAGAAGAAAAGGTTAGAGAGCGAGAAGAAACCAAAGCCAATATCAATAATTTAGAAGAAAGGGTTAGAGAACGAGAAGAAGAAACCAAAGCCAATATCAATAATTTAGAAGAAAAGGTTAGAGAACGAGAAGAAGACACCAAAGCCAGTATCAATAATTTAGAAGAAAAGGTTAGAGAACGAGAAGAAGAAACCAAAGACTTTATCAATGATTTAGAAGAAAAGGTTAGAGAACGAGAAAAAGTGTCAAATATATGGAGTGGAAGTTGAATTAGATGTTTAGTTACAAAATATATTACAGAATGTAAAATTTTTTGACAAACATTCATGTTAAAATTTAAATAAAAATATTATCATAAATATTAAATCATATAACTGTATAAATTGTATAGTATTATAAATATATCATTAAACTAGCAGTTTTACCCGGGCGATGCCCCGTGGTTTCGCTAACGCGATGTGAAATACGTGTTGAAAACTTAATTTTTAAAGTTTTAGTATAAAAAAGAAAATTTAAAATAAATAATATAATATATTGATTTTTTTTTATAAATAATCAACCCACTCTAACTCTAACCCTAATCTTAACGCTAACATATCATTGGTGTTTTTATAAAAACATAACTCTAACCCCTAACCCTAAGTCTAACGTAATTGATGTAATTTATATATTATTTTATTTTTAAATTTAAATGTAATTTTTTAGAAATTTAAATATTTTTATATCCGCGAAATTTTTTTTTAAAATTTTTTTATACCGCGATAAAATTTAATGTTTTTTAATTATGTTTATTTTTTATTTTCGGATTGATATTTTATTGGATTCTTTTTATAATAATTTTAATTTAAATTTGATTTATTTTTAATAATTTAGTAATTATTTTTTCGATGTATTCTTTTTATTTAATTCTACCTAATGCGAATAACCGCGATTTTTTTTTTTTTTTTTTATTTTTTTTAATTTGCATATACAATATATCCCCTATATTTTCAATTTAATTATTTTATTTTATTTTTAGGATTTAATCTATTTAGGGTGTCCTCAGGCACAACTCAATGGATCGATCGATTAATCGAAAAATCGAAAATCGAATCTTAGAGTCGAATCTTGAGAAACGATAGTCGCGATTAAATCGATTCTCAAATCCCTATAGTGAACAAATAATTATCTGGTTATATTAACTTTAATAAAAATTCTTTTTTTGTTAATAATTTATTTATTAAAAAAAAAATTAGCATGACTAAAGCGTAACTTATAGAATTAGAAAAAAATTTTGTTTTTTGTCCATTTTCGCAAAATTCATACAAAACTTTTGAGAAATCCTTGTTTTAAAAATCGAATTTTTAAATTTTACGACTTCTTTAATTGCTTAAAGAATATAAAATAAAATTTTATAAATATATATTTCAAAACCAGCGGTACTAAGAACCAAATATGATTGTTAGCAAAAGATCGAGAGGGTTCAAAGATTTTTTAATTTGAATTGTGACGTTAATTATTCCATCGCTTATAGTTAAACCACTATGAAACTTACAAGATTGGCGCAGTATGTTTCTGGCTTTAAGGAAATTTCTATAATTTTTACTTGATTTTTTTTTCACCCGATAATACTATTATTATCAATGGTTTCTATTATTATTTCTTGTATCTTTTTCAACGTGCAAAATTTATAAAGTAATTAATAAAATTAAAATGTTTTATCACCAATTATAATATTTAATTCAACAAATATCTGGTGGTGAGTGTATAATTGACAACACGGCAATTCTGCGTCATATATGTGTCATAACACATTGCTATGATTATAACTCCCTTTTAACAATTTACTTGTTACATCATTTAACGTAATTTCATCATTGATTAGTCACAATTGCATTAGATTGATTATCAGATTAAAAATATTCGTGCAGGGTCCATGATCTGCATGAAATATTTTTCATAAAAAAACGCGGATACATTTATTTTATTAATTAATTTTAATTTTTTTTTTTAATAAAATTCACACAGTTTTATTTAAGATCGCCCAAAAAAGGAAAGGTACATTTTTAAAACAATAAAATAAATGTTTTCATTGTATTGAAGATCTAATCGTATATGGTAATTATCATTGTCGTCAGATCGAATAAGCATCAATGAATTGTCCATATTTGTATTACTCTATTTTCTATTTAAAGTAACGAATAAATTCAAAATTATTAAAACAAATTCAAACATAAAGGCGCTAAATTAAGTTAGATTAATATTTTATTTACTTACGCCCATTCATCAACTTTGAGTAATTTCATACTTGTAACGATCAATAAGTTTTTTTATTATTTATTTATATTTTTTTTTTTTAAAAATAAATTAGATTTTTGTAGATGTACCAAGTTTGGTAATTTCATATTCGCGCGAGTAAAATGTTCCTTTTCACGAAGTAGTTTCTTGTGGTTAATGTATGAAAAATTTTTTCGATAACACTTCCCGTCTTTAGAAATTCTAAAACACAACAATGAAAAGATTAACAATCAATACCGATCTTCTATGATCACCTTATTGAAAGCATCATCAATTCAACGAGTATAAAAACTCGTCTTGATTCCCCTCCAAAGTAGTTCTTCAGTTCTTTAATAAAATATCGAACTGATCAAAAGTACAATAAATTTTATAAACAACGAAATTTTAACGAATCATGAAATTCAATTCTGCTCTTTTGCTGCTTGCATTTACGGCTGTGGCCGTGACGTATCCCGTTGAGGATAACAGTGTCTCGGAAGGTAAGATTAAAATGACGATAAAGTTCATATCCTATAAAATTATCTTTGAATCCTAATTTTTTTTTTGTAATTAGTTAATAAACGTAACGACGTCTACAAGCCAAATCATCACGCACCACCAAAGAAGAAGCCAACCTACAAGCGTGAAGATTACAAACCAAAACCAGATGATAAAAAACCAAAGGAAGATGATTACAAGCCAAAACCAGATGATAAAAAACCAAAGGAAGATGATTACAAACCAAAGGAAGATGATTACAAACCAAAGGAAGACGATAAAAAACCAAAACCAGATGATAAAAAACCAAAGGAAGATGATTATAAACCAAAACCAGATGATTACGAATCATCAAAGAAGAAGCCAACCTACAAGCGTAATGATTACAAACCAAAACCAGATGTTTACAAACCAAAGGAAGACGATAAAAAACCAAAGGAAGACGATTACAAACCAAAGGAAGACGATTACAAACCAAAGGAAGACGATTACAAACCAAAGGAAGACGATTACAAACCAAAACCAGATGATAAAAAACCAAAGGAAGATGATTATAAACCAAAACCAGATGATTACGAATCAAAGAAAAAGCCAACCTACAAGCGTAATGATTACAAACCAAAACCAGATGATAACAAACCAAAGGAAGATGATTACAAACCAAAGGAAGACGATTACAAACCAAAACCAGATGATTACAAACCAAAACCAGATGATTACAAACCAAAGCCAGATGATAAAAAACCAAAGGAAGATGATAAAAAACCAAAGGAAGATGATTACAAACCAAAGGAAGATGATTACGAACCGAAGGAAGATATGGATTACAAACCAAAACCAAAATACGAATAACTTCGAAAAATATTTTTATCATTTGTTAATTACAATCTTCGATGTTATATTTCAACGAAACTAGTCTTTTTTTTTTATTCTTTTTATTATCTATTATTATCTGAATATTGAAATATAGGAGGAATTTAACATAATTACGATGTAAAATTGTATTTATAGTTTATGTATTGAATGTAATTTGTTTTATTTTATTTTGGAATTCCTTTAATAAATAAAATTTGATTGTTTCGAGTATAATTTGCAATTATTGGCTGATTATAATTATAATTACCACAATTCTTGATGAATATCTTAAATAATAGACTAAATTGATAACAGAGCCAGATATAATATCAAAATCATAAAAATAAAAACATTTGAAAAAAAAATTAAATAAATTAAAACAAATTATCTTGCTCCAATACTTTTATATATCTTACTTTGCATTTTTGTTCTTATGCAAGATCTCGTAAATATTTCGATTAATTCATCAGAACTAAATTGACATATGACGCGTTTTTACGGATCACGAAACGTTGCTCCGTTCTGTCGCCTTTGATTTTTTACCATGGTCTTCTTTCATGGACGTTAAAAATGCGATAAGTGCGTGTGTGTATTTGATTCTGAAGCTTTTTATTCAGCTAATTTACTGTACGTGTTACTAGTGCTCCGAAACGATCGAGTCGATCCGGGTTGTTTGACCCGACTCGAATTTTTCTCGGGACTATCATTTTTATGACACGAGTCCTAATTCAAAAAAACCCGCCGGATCAGGGTCACGTTTTTGCTTGACCCGGGTGACCCTGATGATCAGGCGAACTGATTTAAACAATATTGACGCGCTACTTTTTTTTTTTCACGTTACACGACCTTAATTTGTAACAAATAAATAATAAGTAGACCTATCGACGTTAGCGATTATACCACTTCTTCTAGAAACCGAAAAGCATTGCGGAGTGAACAATTAGAGGCAGGTAAAAAAAAAAAATTATCGATTATTAAACATTAATTAAAACATTTTTTATAAAGTAACAAGTGTTCCAGTAGAACGAGTTCTTCTGGCGGAACATATATGATATCAACCAAAAAATATGGTCTTAAAGCTAATACAATTCGCCTGCATGTGCTTGAAATTCTGGTAGAAAAAGATGAAAAAAAAAAAGAATTAGGATTAATTCTCACAAAAAAAAAATAATAAATTTTAAAATAAAATAAACACTTTTTTATTTACGACATTAAATAAATATTTATAAGCGATAAAAAAGCTGAAAAGCTTGTCACGTTTTGCTTAACCCAATATGTAGAATTTTATTGTTTAATATTTTTATTTGGAATTTAACCAACAAATCCAATTTACAGCATTTTTTTTGAAATGACACTCTGCGGGTGACTCAGGCGCAACGATTGATGATTTTTAAAAAAATCTTGCGCCTCTTTCTTTTTTTTTAGATTCTTCTTCGAAATCGGATGGTTTCTGTTAGAATAAAGACTTTCGTTGTTTTAATTTTTATGTTACTCCAAAATTATTTTATACTTATTAATTAATTAAACTGTATAAAAAAAAATTTTTTTAGAAATAATCAAAAAATAAAAAATGCGTAAATTACTTGATAAGATGAAATTAAAATAAAAATAATGTGGCCTCAACCGCCGAAATCCGTCGAAATTCTCAAAATTATCTTGAAAAGTCTTGAAAAATAAAGAATTATATTTTTTTTTGTTTATAAAAAAAAAAATTAATATAATGAATTTAAAAAGTAATATAATAAATGTAATGATATGTAGGCAGCGCCGAATCGGGTAAGTATTAAAATTTTTTTTTCTATATATTAAACCACTGTCCTTAAGCTAGCACAAAGAAACCCTTGAGATTTCGAGTCGAGTCCGGGTTAAATAATAATCGGGTCGAGTCGAATCCGAGTCAAACAATGATCGGGTCGAGTCGAATTCGGGTTCTGTAATTATTAACGGGTTCGAGTTCGAGTATACCTTATATCCGACCCGACCCGACCCTTACGGAGCACGTGTTGCAACTCAAATCGATTAGTGATTAGGTGTTGTTGATTTTATATTCAACAAAGTAACTTTTGATTCGTCTTTTTATTTTTTTTTTTAAAAAAAAAAAAAAAAAAAAAAATATCGCCTTGAAAGCACACGGGTTTAACAAAACTACGTCACATTTTATTTTGTGTTGTAGTTCAAAATATTTCATATAAACAAATTATCTTCTATCGAAATTTTTTCGAGAAAAAGAACCACAATATACATTTTAATAATTAGAAACATATGAAGTCGCCTTTGTATGTGACATGAACTATGAACTTTTATCAATTGAGTATTTTGCAATAGAAATAATAGAAAGGGAGGATGCTCTAAAAAAATATTTTAGGATAAACATTGGACTTATTTTGCTTAAAAAAAAAAAAAAATTGTATAAATATTGTTTTTTTGTAATAAATCATTTTAAATAATTATCAGTTCGATTCGCAAATAATTTTTTTTTTTTTTTTTTTTTTTTTTAAAGATACCGCCCATTTTTATTTTATTGTCAAATAAAGTTCTAGGATCCAAAATTGAAATTTTTACATTTAGTTATGAAAATGTATAACATTTAATCACATGACCTGAAATCGATGTATCAATATTATTGAAGAATTTTTCGTAATTTTACAAGAAATTTCTTGGATCTTCTTGACAATTACTTCTAGTTCTGCAAAATCATTGCCAATTTCATGTAATAAAAGCTTTTTTTTAAAAATAAAAAAAAATAAAAATAATATCCATTTCAAATAATACTTTGTGCAATAGCATCTAAAGAAAATAAAATATATCCTTTGGATTTTTTCAACGAGGTATTACATGTTACATGTATTATTCATTAAGTGGAAGTCATTAAATTTTAAAGATTTCAGATATTTTAAGGGTAATTACCTTCTATATCAGTTTCAAGAACTGAAGTATGATTTTGAACTGATTAGAACTGTATTAATAAATTTTATACGAGACTATACCCACCTCGCGGTAGGCGGTTTGGTATTATCCTTGATCAAATTAGCAATGGGTAATTGCGCAGCATTTCGTTAGATATTTTTGATGGGCCTGGTCTTGACGCGCTGGCTCCTGATCACCACCCCTGTCAGAAACGTCCCGAAGAGCTTGCGTGATGACCTACAAGATTTTATTGAATTAATAAATAAGGTACAACGCCATACACGAAGCTGGTACATAGATTTGATTTAATAAGTTGATATCAAACCCAACGTGAACGTAAGGTTATATAAAATATACTATTTTTCGATTTTTTTGGTGATATAACAAATATTTGTAATATATGTAATGTGCAATTTCCATCTTTTGTTCTTATTGGAAGGAATGCTATTGATTAATGATGGGGCTATGATTAATTATCCCCTAGTTGCAATTAATTACAACTTATAATGTATATTAAATTATATTAAAATTAACTTTATAATAAAATTTTTCATTAAATCGATAAATTTTTACGCCTTTATAACTCTCAATTCTATTTATCTAAAATAACATTAGAGCTATTAATTACAGAAAGAATTTGTTTTCCGTAAATTTTTTCATATAAGATCTCTACCGAGGGGGGACAAAAATATTGCACGGTCAAAATTTATCCGATTTAATAAATCGTTAATATGTAACTGACCATGTGATTTTTATACCATATTTGCTATATATTTCCTAAATGTTTATTGTTTTGATTTAATATGTTAAAGATTGCAAAAATCGGGTTTGAAAATCTCTACCATTTTCTACTTTGCGCATACGATGGGTCTCGCTAAAGAATTAACTCCTATGCAAAAGGGAGGCATTATTGCAGCCAAAAAATTAGGCCACAACAATACTGAGATTGCAAAAGCTATAGGATGTCATCGAACAACCGTTATAAGATGTCTTGCAGCTTATGAATCAGAAGCGCCTTCTAAAAAACGACCAGGTCGACCCTGCTTGATCGATAGCCAAAAAGGCAAAGATTGAAGGCAATGGTTCTCAAAAATAAAGAACTAAGACGAAAAAGTCTAGTAGAAATTACTAATATATTTTCTGCTAAAATTAATAAGCCAGTCTCTACAAAAACAATTCGTCGTGCACTTTACAAGGAAAATGTGCATTCCTGTATTCCTCGAAAGAAGCCTCTCATCTCAGCAATCAACAAAAACAAACGACTTGCATGGGCAATAGAAAGAAGACATTGGACTGTAGAAGACTGGAAAAAGATAGTCTGGACAGATGAGTCTACATTTTCACAGTTTCAAAAAACTGGATGGGGAAGAGTGTGGAGAAAGCCAGAAGAAAAATTTAATGAAGATTGCA